CTTACTAAAATAGTCGACCAAACTATGAAATTTACGCCTCCTAATGCCATAAAGTCCATCCCTACTTTTTGCTAGGGTAAGTCAGGTACTTTATGAGACAAGAGCGGTTCACGCTGGTTGCTTTTGGCATATTGTTGACAGGTCATACAAGACAAAACCACATTTCTCTCACTTGAATCCGGAAAGGAAAAATCAAATGAATTTTTTTTATCGCTTGGAGCGCACGAAAGGGAATCCCTATAATGTTCAAAAAACATCGTGCGTTCCTAGAGAGGATAGGGCCCAAAGTAGCCACAGTGAAGAAAGGTATCCACTGGATGTCTACAGTAAACCAGAAGTCAAAGCTATTGAATCGACAGCAGGAGGCCAAGAGAGCATAGGCTTTGATTACACACTCTTAGGGAATCCTGGAATACTGGTTGCTCTGAATAGGTGTTTCGATTCGTCACTTCTTGTGACATGAGTACTACAACTCTTACAGGTGGTTTTCTGGAATTTGAATTGGTTTTATACCTTTGTTGTCAGGATAGGGAAATCAGAATCACAGAAACAGGTCAAGTATAGATTTATTCAGCTCTTCTCGTTCATCCAGGTTACAGGCATTAATTAAATAAACTCTAATCTTTACACGATCATGTGAATATAATTAAATCGACCTTCACAATGACATAATGACGAGTGACATCCAGACTACATGCAATGAACAGGCATGACGGCTGACAGGTGACAATCAGGAGGAACAGTTTGTTCCACTGATCATATGCATACAACTTTTACGAATACAATAGCTAAGCGTGTGTAGTGCAGGCGCAAGCAAAGCAGGGGCAATGAACCACCGAATACGACCGGGAAAATTGTAAGCGAGGGTCGATTCAGGGAAGTGAGTTCGGTATCGTCAGGAATGACCACAGGAATGAAATCGTTTAGTTAAATCACAAACGCGGAACAGACTGGTGAAAAATACTCCTTCAGAGTGTAGCTCTAACTCTGGCTCATAGCAGTATTCGGAAGCCGTCTGCAGGTTGACTTGCGAATCCTACTTTTCTCAAACAAAGGAGACGGGCCCTGGATCCACACAGGCGGGCTTCCAATCTCGAAACAATCGGAGTAGGGTGTCCCTAAGGTCGTAGCGAGATCCACCCAAAGGTTGAGCCGCAGAGCAAAACTTAGGAGACACTACTATTTTCCAAACAGTATCTACGTTACTTATGAACTCTGAACTTCTGAACGTGGAGTATTCTTCACCAGACAAGTTTTTAATCTACTCAGGCGATAGTTTACTAGTTACAAAATTCACTTAGTACAGGGTGGTCACTGATAAACTATAAGCAATAAGCGTACGCAAACCAATTTGAAATAGCTTACTTGGATGAAACAGGAGAACTGCTGGCTGCGAAACACTCGAAACTGCTACTGGCGCGACCGCGAAGTCTCGGATATCGGCACGGGAGACGCAAATCGAACCACTCGATGAATTTTTCGGAAAATAATAAAGGAGCTAGGTTATGATTTCTAAATTATAGCAAAAGGCATGAACAGGAAAACTATATGCTGGAATTGAATTGACTGGAATGTGAAAAGTTACTGGAATCCGAACTGGAAAGCAAAGCAATCTGGAATAACTAACCGGGAAAAGAACTGGAAAAGTAACTGGAATAATTAACTGGAAAACTATCTGGAATTGTGAGCTGGGAAAATAGCGCAAGCACAGGAACACTGGTAAACCGACTGAAAAGTGATACCGGAGAACCGAACTTAAGGACTCAAGAACTAACCGACTGTCGGACTAACTGCTGGACTAACTGCCTGTTCGCTCCGATGGACCGAGTATTCATGTCCTGCCTAGACCTTGACGCAAATTGAGCAAGGTCAACAGCTATTCTTGCTCCTGATTGGCTAGTTTCGACTGAACTCGTGAAAATGCCGGTACCAACCTTGAAAGCCGAAGTCGTCCTTAGAAAAAGAAAAACGCGGAAATAATATTTTCTTGGCCAAAAGGGCCCAGGCACATGATCAACCTTCTTTGCTGAAGCTACTGAATCAATATTTATATCCTACCAGCAGAAATATTCAAATTATTGCTAGGTAAATATTTGCATCTTCAAGGTCAAGGCCGAACATGTGGAAATTATGAATTTTCAGGAAATCTTACATTCAGGGACTTTCAAAAGTTGCAGGAAGTCCTCTCGCATCTCTAAGACAGGATTACATTCCACTCTATTCATCAGGATTGCTTTCCAAACATAATAGAGGCTACCAAAGAACTTCCCGTACTTGTAGATCAAAGAGTCAATTTCTGGAGCTAGGACAGGGCTATAATGACACGAAAGACATCCCTAGTAGTTGGTATACGAGACTGATATCTTTCAGAATAGGTTTTTCATGAGGAGGTGTGTAACGAACTGCATACTTTCAATATCAGCTAGATGACGAGTAGAAGGATAGTATCTGAATTATAAGCAATTATCAGACTTCTGTATCTTGGGTGATAAATGCTTTCACTGGAATATTAGCTCGGAATGGAAATATGTACGATAAGACAGGAATTTAGATAGAAACCGTTTCTTAGTAATGAAGTCCTAAAAAAACACTTCATTACACACCCCTCCTTATTCTTATGGAAAAAAAATTCAAGCTTCAGCTGCAATTTTTTTTTTATACATATACCTATTTAATCAAATAACTTAGGTATCCTCGTCTGGTAGCTGGTTCTGGTGAGCAAGGCGACATGGCTGCTGTGACGTGTTTCTGGTAACTGGTTCTGGTCAGCAAGGCGAGATGCTTGCTGTGAAGTTATCCTGGTGACTGGTTCTGGAGAGCAGGGCGAGATGCCTGCTGCGAAGTTTTTCCGGCTAATACCGGTATCCGGGGCGCACTCTCTCAAACGAGCAGCGCGAGCATTGGACCCCTCGATCGGCGACGGTTGGGGTGGACGTCTGGGTCCGTCGGTTGACCTGCGTCGGGGCTGGTGGCCTGGTGGTCCGGCCGGTAGTTGTGGGTTGAGCCGGGATGACCACTGGGAGGTGCTCCGGTTATCTTCTCGGGGGTCTGGGACACTGGCAGTCGCATGACCGCACGCCATCCAGTCCACATCGCGAGCAGAACCACCTTAACTGTCGGGTACACCCTTCTCGCCGGTGTCCCGGCCTTCCGCAACGCCAACAAAGTTGCTGCGCCACAGGAAGGTAGGTCAGCTAGAACTCTCCCACGCCTATGGTGGCCTTGAAGTAGGAGTTCGGGACGAATGACTCCGCGGACCGAGTCGGAGCCGCGGTGTTGTCTGGACTGGTAGTAGCCAGGCTGGGTTCGCCGGGACTGGTGGCATCCACGACGATGATGCCGGAGCTGATGGTAGTCAGGCTGGGTGCGCCAAGCCCGACAACATTGGGCGTCTCGGGGTCGTTTTCCCATCCGGCGGTGTCGTAGATCGGCAGGGGCGAGGGCAGGGGTGAGGTCAGGATTTCCAGGAAATCGTTCATGGCTGTGAACAGAACATATCATCAATTTTTCCTTACTCTTAGAACTCT